TGACTATCTCTATTCTGTTACCTTCTAAATCCGCATCTGTACTCTGGACTTAATACCCAAATACCTACTGGATACTGCCTCAAACTGAAAATGTCTAAACGCTGAACACGGGCTGCTCTCCTTTCAAACTGTAGCTCCTCCCAAAAGCTTAATCCTATTCTATTGTTCTTATTCTGGTTAATGCCACCCACATCAAACACTAGGAGTTATCTAGACTCCTGCAACTCCCTTCCTATTCTCTCAGATTTGGTCATTATCTCCTATCTTCTGTCTCTCAATTCGCCTCTGCTAATTTTTTGTGCAATTATTTTGTTTCACCTCTGCTACTGAAAGTTCAGTATCTAGGTTTGGCATCCACATTGACAAGGAATGTCTTTCAGAGATCAAAGCTGTTCATATCATAGATTGATTAAAATCTTTCGAGGACTATAAATCCAGGTTAAACATCAAACTCATTTTTACACCTACTTGTCCCAATCTTTTCCAAACTGTGTTGCCTCATATCTCGATGCACTTCTTCCTGCTTTTTATTCTAACCAAGTGAAATTTGCCTGGTATCTTCAAATGTATCAGATTGTCTTTATATGAGCTCTTTCACAGTAACCTCTTTCTGTCTCTTTCTTTATATTTTTATACCATTTTTACAGCCAGGAGCAAACCAATATGCCCTTAGTTTTAATGTTCCAGGGCCATCTCTTCTAGAGCTTGCCTTGAGTTACTATAATTAGAGATCATGCTTGGGGTTAAACGAACTGCAAAATTTGGCCTCTGAAAATGAGAACTTGATGGCTATGATGGTGTTTCATGTTGTACCTTAGTTGTAACTCAAATAGTGATATAGTTTAGCTGCTCTAGAAGAAATTCCTTACCTGGCCATTGAGACTGGATTGAGAGCCTTTTCTCAGGCCACGAATGAGCCTTTTGCCCATATTTATTACTGTGGCCTGTTTGCATGTCAGTCTCTTCTCACTTTTCTGAGAACTCCTTGAAGTTGGGTTCTAGGCCTACGAATCCTCTTCTCTCCAACATCTAAGTCCACTTTGTACATTGTAGGCAGGCAGTATACATAGCTAACAAATAAATGTTGCCACTTAATGTTCCAAGGCTCAAAATAAAACCATGAGTACCCTTCTGCCTTTGCTGCAAAGCTCCTAGATCCCTGCACTTCTACACCAAATCATCTCATTAAATGTGGAACTGGTGCCCCAAAGTTGGACTAATGTACCAAGAAAGGACAAGGTTCTCTTATGAGCTTGCTCTGTGGTATTATTTGAAGTTTGCATGCCCTCCCTCTCCATGGATCATGGGGGAGCTGTTTACCATTAAGCTCTCCTAAAGTAGCAGTCATCACAGAGTCAGCTGCTTAGATGTGCTTTTGAATGAACTCAGTCCCTTTATGCTTACAGTGCAAAACAAGGGAACATAATAAAAATGTTTCTCTTCAAATTTTGTTCCTTGAATTTTTTTTTTTTTTTAGGTAACACATAGGAATTCAATGCAAAATTCCAAAAATTGCAAACTTCAGCATGAATAGGTGGATTGAAATGAACTGTTGGGTGTTCCTGAGGAATGGAATGGTATAGTAACAATGCCTTTCATTTATCGAATGCTTACTTTGTTCCTGACTGAGTGCCTCATTCACTAAGTGCATCATACAATTCATTCCTGTTCTGGAGGTGGGAACTATTATCACCCTCATTTAATAAACGAAGTCTCCTGAGGATTTGGGATTTGGGTAACTTACACAAAGTCACACAGAACTGCTGTCGATGTGTGGGATTCAAACCGAGGCCTGTCTGACTCCCTTTGTGGAACACACATTTATTCACTATCACGTGCATGCATACAGCTATGTTCACACACTCAGAAGCACTATACTTCCATGTAGGTAGCCTAGCGATGTCAAAGCTCTGAACCACAGATTGCCTTTTATTTTTTTGGTGATCTGGAAAATGTTAGTCGCTCCAATCCAGAAGTAGATTGTAATAGTCTCAGGGTTGGTCATAAATAGTATGAATAAGCAGCTGGTTCCTGTTGGCTGAAGCTGAGTTGAAAGGCTGTGATCATTGTCTGTATGTGTGCCACTGCAGCAAAGTACCAGGTAGCCTACATTTCTAATCACTCTGTTTTTTAATTTGTTAACTATTCAAGTATACAAATCATGAAAAACTTATTCAAAACACGTATTAACTGTCACTGTGTACAGAAGGTATCTCCTCTCTCCTTTCTCCTGATATAGGAAATACGAATTTAAGAAATGTATGTTCCTCTATCTATTAAACAGGGATGACCATTAGCAATTTAAAAAAATGATTAGCAAGTCACAGCTTAGGTTTGGATTTTAGTGTTGGATCATTTGAGAGGTTGAACACATTTCCATTCAGAGATTTAGAAAATATCACTTTGAAGAGATATACGAATATTTGTTTTAAAAGTGAAATTTCATATATTAAAGAATAGCATCCTAATTACTAAAGACAAGTTGATAAAACTCAATTATATGATACGCACAAATTTATCTTTGGAAGAGTATGTCCAAAAAATAGCAAAGAGTGTCTCTCCCTCCGTGAATTTTTGTTTTGTTTTGTTTTTGTTGTGTGCAGTGCTGGGGATTGAATCCAGGCTTTGAGCATGGTAGGCAAGGCTGTCATGACTAAGTTACTCCTCAGCCTGCCATGATTATTTTATGTTCATAAATATAAACAATACATCATATTAATTAAACACTTGGACTCTGAAGCCACGCTGTCACAGTTTTAGTTTTTATGTAGTCACTCACTAACAATTCGACTTGGCTGTGTTTATACTATTTGTTTAAATTTCTTTACCTATAAAAGGGGAATGATAGTATCAGTGTCTTTGAGTTGTGGAAGAATAAAATGAACAAATTTATATAAAGTAATTAGAATAAAATCTGGCCTAGACAGGCCACAGAAAGGGATATTTGTAATTACAGTGATATTGCCCTCTATCTCAAGGAGTACACATGCTACAGCTAAAGCATACCACTCTCATTCATTTATTCATTAATTAATTTTTTTGCTTACTCAGTGTTTAATTCATTAAGTAAATATTTACTTGTTGCTTACATAATAGCAAGTCCTGTGCTTGGTGATATGTGAGATCAAATATTCTATCAGTCAATGACCTTGCCTTCTCAAGAAATAGTCATTTAATGGAAAAAAATATATAAAAATGGCTAAAAGGTCTGGGAATGTATCTGAGTGGTACAGTGTTTGCTTAGCATGCATGAAGCCCTGGGTTTAGTCCCCAGTGTCATACATAAATGATTATTATAGTATAATATACAAATAGTACAATAAGAGCTTCAAATTGTTAGACAAGAATTCTGCATATACAAATATTTAATCAAATTATAGAGTACATTTTTATATTTTGTCTTTGTTAACAGATTTAAAGAATTGTACTAGGGTTCAGTAGCACCTCAACATTCAGAAAACCATGGTAGAGAGAGATCATGAAAAATCATCCTGAAGTTCCTTATTCATTTTAGCAATATATTATTTCTGATTGCCATGATAAGATTGTCAGGATGATAAAAAAATTTAATATCTGACATTTGTTCCTAATTTGTCACATTCATTAATAGTTCAGTTTTGAAAATCAGAATGTGATTTAAAATCTTTAACAGCAAAAAGTTAATATGGTTGTAAGATTTAATTTTTTACTTATTTCTTAAATTTATTTATTCCTTCAATGTTTTGACTATTTAAACCATTTAAATATTAACAATATGCTAAAGAACTATAAATATGTACATTATGTTGAAATTCATACTATTCTATAATATTGCCCATGGTTTATGTTATTTATTATAGTAAAAAATCAAACTCATGGGAGAAACTTAAACAAGGGTATTATAGTACAACTCTTACATGGTAATGATGTTTTTCTTTTAAACATAAATACTAAGCAATATTAAGATGGTAAAAGATGTGATGTGAACTAGTATATTTTATTAAACATCAGAGGTTCTTAAAATAGGGTAATTCAAAGTTCCTAAACGATGAAACTGTACTGTAGTATATTTTAAAGTATATCCCATCAGATATGCCATCCCTGTTTCTGCAAAGTGGATGTGATCATGTCCAGATGACCTACATGCTACTAGGCTTTTCAAGAGTAACTTACTGTCACAGGATGTATGTATGTCACGTTAGCCAAGAGGCTAACCACAAAGACAAATCATTCAGTTATCTCTGTGGCATTCAAGAGACACTGCCATCCTTCTGGGGTTTTGAGCATTTTAAGGAACATTCTGATTTGAAAATTGGGAATAGCGTTAGCTGTAACAATTCATTGGTTACTCAGTTTTTCATAAACACTAGAACTAATTGCAGAGGTAACATTAGTATAGGTTTCTCTCCTTTTAACTGCCAAACCTGTGTTCTCTCATCTTCATTCTTTTCTCATCCAGAAACGCTATGGTATATTAGCAATGTAGCTTTCATTTTATTAAATCTTTAAGTTATATTTCAAACTACAGTTTTGAGTAAATATGTTATCTGCACTGATAAAATATTTCATCCATGATTATTTACTTACTATTTAATTTTATTAAAGCTATGTGAAATTCCGGCTACTCCACGATGAATGTTTAAAGAAAACCAATGAAGAGTCAATTAAAGCCATAATTAATCTATGCTTCAAGATAACACAACACATTAGAAAAAAACTCTCAAAAAACAAAGCCCGTTGAATCGACAATCCTCAGTTGGCAGATGTGTTTCAGTTTGTCCTATTATTTATGTAATTTTTTCCTTTTTCTCAGCTCAGAGACATTTTTATACACACGTGTAGACTTCAGTAGGGATTAAAAATACTCAGATGCCCATGTTATTTGGGGACAAAATTTCCTTTGAATAAGAAATGCGTCACATGAGGCTGAGTTCTATAGTGAACGTAGTAAGGTTTTAAGTTTGATGATGGACAGGGGCCAGGAGGCCCCAGACACAGCTTAGAAGCACTGTGTTACTTACGGTTAAGAGGGAGGCTCGCGTTGGTCGTGCCCAGCTTGTTGGCGGCCACACACGTATAATTGCCGAAATGCTCCTGTGTCACATTGGTAACAGTGAGAATGGATCTTGTGCTAAAATTTTGAATAATAATTCCTTGTTGGCCATTGAAGAGCCTAGAAAACAAACAAACATTATGTAAATAAGAATGGCAAACACTGGTTTCATATTTATCTTAGATGGGGTCATAGTAAACCACAGACAGTTCGAATACACTGATTTTATGCTATAGCATGATGATAGTGCAATGATATTCTCCTTTACTTTTCTTCTTTGTTCTCTTTTTCTTCCTCCTCCTCCTCTTCTTTTCCTTCTCCCATTTCTTCATCTTTCTTCTTCCTCCTATATCTCTTCCCTTCCTCTTCCTCTTCCCTTTGCTTTTCCCTAATTGTTCTCTGTAGCAGTTCCTATGCATACAAGCTTTTCAAACCAAATAAATTCATTTGTTTTAAACTCCTAAAATGGCAAGGCCACATGGACATACTTCTGTGGTATTTGAATCATGCACCTCCTTTTAAAATGGAATCCTTAGCTGGGCATGGTGGTGCACGCCTTTAATCCCAGCACTTGGGAAGCTCAGGCAGGAGGATCGCTGTGAGTTCGAGAGCAGCCTGGGCTACATAGTGAGTTCCAGGTCAGTCTCAACTATATAGTGAGACCCCGTCTCAAAACAAACAAGCAAACAAACAAACAAAAAAACAAAACCAGGAATCTTAGGTACATAATAAGTAGTGCATAAAATCAGTAGAGTCCAAGAGATGATCCCTTAACACAAGCTTTATTGAGCTCCTTTCAATGGACTCTTTAAGAAAATTTCTGTCTAAATAGGAATTCTTTTGTAAGGAGGCTGCCAACAAGATGTGAGCTCTACCTGACTGATTTCACACGCTGGTCACGTTAGCAGCTATGTAAACTCACAGCCCAAATGGCACTGTAGCTGTTCCTCTCCGGTATGCTCACTTTGGTACCAAATATTTCTTTAATTGTGGATATACTAATAAATGACATCCCCTGGGAGTTTAAGTTGAACTCCTTTGCATTACGCTACACGGAATAGTGAGTTAGGTCAGTCTCAACTATATAGTGAGACCCCGTCTCAAAACAAACAAGCAAACAAACAAACAAAAAAACAAAACCAGGAATCTTAGGTACATAATAAGTAGTGCATAAAATCAGTAGAGTCCAAGAGATGATCCCTTAACACAAGCTTTATTGAGCTCCTTTCAATGGACTCTTTAAGAAAATTTCTGTCTAAATAGGAATTCTTTTGTAAGGAGGCTGCCAACAAGATGTGAGCTCTACCTGACTGATTTCACACGCTGGTCACGTTAGCAGCTATGTAAACTCACAGCCCAAATGGCACTGTAGCTGTTCCTCTCCGGTATGCTCACTTTGGTACCAAATATTTCTTTAATTGTGGATATACTAATAAATGACATCCCCTGGGAGTTTAAGTTGAACTCCTTTGCATTACGCTACACGGCTTGCATTTCACTGCAGCTAAATGCAGATTAAAATAAGTAGTCACGTTTGGTTATTCTAGGAATTACTTACATTTCATGTAAGAGCTGAATTTGTCTTATCCGAAATGTAAACTTTAATCAGATTAGCAAAACTTTGAGTTGAATAAACACTGAACAAAATTTAACTTGAGCAATAAATCGAATGATCCCCAACTGTGAGATAAGAAAATAAGGCATAAAATATTATGGATGTGGCACCTTCTGCCCCTTTGTTTTACATTTCCAACTTATCAGTTATCTATGCTAAATTCCCATAGTGAGCACTGCATATTTTTATGCACCACATTAATAAGTTCATTTTAAGCTAATCATTCTATGTTGGGTATAAAATCACAGATTCAGTGCCCTGCGAGCTTCAACAGTTGAGCTCAAATCAATTTGCCTATGTCTGTGTCACAGATACATTCTCTAGAGGACTCAGCAACTCCCCAGAGTACTAAATCCCTGTTATGCCCCATCTACCAAAACCAGGACTGTTTTGCTGTTGAAGAACTGAGGAGAAATGAAGCAGGATCTTCTGCCGGCTACACTCTGGGGAGGCATTCTTGAGGGAACACATGCAGACCCTCTGAGGCACTACTCCTTACGGCCTCTTTCTGAGAGAGCTGGCTCTCCGGTGCTGCCCTGCAGCCACAGAAGTCGCTGAGTCATGCGTGTCCTAGGCTGCCTGGGCTTACAGGGCCAGTTCTGGCCTCTGGCCAGAGCCCTGGGTGCATCCTGATGGCAAGGCCATTGCTCCAACCCTGCTACTCAGCTCAGTCAGGCAGGAGAATAGGGCAAATAAAAAAGAAAATATTTTCCCTGGGGGATTTCCCTTGTGTTAAAGGCAGCTACATTTCTCAAGATCCAGAGAAGTCCAAAGCTTCCTTCCTCCTGCAGTTGAAAGTTTTAGAAGCCATGACTCTTCCAATCCCCTTCGACACTCTGTTCTCCTTGGCGGATACCAGGGAGGACCTTGGCAAAAACTTTGAGACAGCGTGACCACTGGGAAGGTGTATTTCTGTAGAGAAGGACAACTGTGATTTTCTTGCTGGAATCTGGCACTGGGAGCTTTCTTAGATATTCAAATCAATAGTGACAAGCGGCTTTAAATTGAGGCAAAGATGAGCTTTATACTGAGTGATTAGGGAAAAAGCAGAGCAACACATGAACTCTGCCCTTGAGTGGTCAAAGTCCAGGGAAGGAGCCAGACATGAGAACAGGTGTTTGCCCCAGCCCAACACACCCACCCTCTGTTACTGGATGTAGAAATCTGAGGTTCTGTCCATGATGCTTTCATGCGCTTAAAAATAAATAGTGAAAGAGTTCTTTAATTGATGACTTTTTTTTTTTAAGAAACAGATTTAATCCTAGATGGTTGTCTATAGCAGTATTTTCCATAATGAGAACCATTCTTGTATTGACTTAGATCCCAGTATAAAAGATGCTGTCTGGTAGCCTCTCACTGCCAAGGAAGAGAATGAAATTCTGTGCAGGTAGAAGTTAAATATGGTCTAGTTTTCTTCAACAGTGGATCATCAGCTCACAGTGCTTATGTGAGAACCTGCGGTCATTTTTCTTTGTTGCATCTGTATCATAGGGAATATGGTTATAAGGTGCTTCTATGACCACAGACCCTGCTGTTTTCTACCTTCTGTTGCCAAAAAAACTGCTCCTTTCGAGGACCATTACTCTTACTTTTCTTCCTTCTGCTTTTTGCCAATGCCTCATAAATCTGCGAACCACCTGTATTTGCTTTGCCAGCTGATGCTGCCAGCTCCTAAGTGACACGGCCTGACCCACTAACTAGTCCTGAATTAGAATAGACCCCTGCATTTTCCAGTGTCAACCAGAAGAAGCACAAGGAAGGGATGCTTATAATGAGGGGTGCTTACATTTCTGACTCAGGAAGCATTTGCAGACCTTACAGTCACAACCTCCCTCAGGCTCTCACTATCTGGGATGAGCAGACGGGCCTGTAGCAGCCTCGCCACAGAAAACCTGACCGCACAGCCACCAGCACCAGCTGTTGAGGTTGCAAAAATAAATGTAGCAGCTGCCACTTCATCTTATTTATTTTTTTATATACATCCAGCCTCACTCCACATTTTGGGATTACTGCTCACTCTATGTCTTTCCAGGTTAGGAATCACAATAAACATGGGTTTGGCACCATGATGCTATTTTTAGTCTTTTTGGTGTGAGCAGGAATACTTTATATATGGAATGCGTTAGCTGTTCTCTATATATTTATGATGGAAGTCAGCCAATGCTAAAAGATTTCAGTCTTGCGCACAATAGCGTTTGGTGTGCTGAGAATGAGGAATTGACAATGAGAAATCATACAAGCATTTTCAAAAGTGTGCGTCTTCACAGCACTAATCTGTGAACTAATCTTCACAGCAAACCTAAGACATAGGTGTTATTAGTCCCATTACACATGTGGGAAAACAGTCGTTTAAAAAGAATGAACTCACTTATCTTTGTACTATTCGGATTTCAAGTCCATGTCCTTTATTTGCATCCTCTCCCAAGAACAGTCAACCTGCAAGTTTCTGAGTAGAAACCTGGATACTGTTTTTGAATGTGGGGAGACAAGTCAGAAATCACGGGTGCTTTAGGAAAACGGACCTCAGCTAAGGAATAACACCAATGGGGCTAGCCAGGCCTGATGGTGGACGCCTGTCATCCCAGCACTCTGGGAGGCTGAGGCAGGAAGATCAGAAGTTGAAGTCTACCCAGGACAGCTTAGTGATCTAGCAAGATCCTATCTCAGAACATAAAAACCAAACCACAACAGAAAAACCAAACTGGGGTTGTAGCTGAAAAGGTCCTGAATTCTATCCTCAGCCCTGAAACCAAACCAAACCAAACCAAAACAGAACCCTGAATGGAACTAAAAAGTCAACTAGCATGTGATGTCTACGCCATGAAACCCAGGTGCAATCCAGAGAGTGAGTCTAAAGGGCTCAAAAGTCAAATGCAAAATCAGCTTCATTCTACTCAGCCATGTGTGTATTCCGCGGCCAGAGGCTGCATGGCTACTTATGTGGGGCCTGGGTATGCCCTCTGGTGCAGCCCCCACCGCAGGTGTGGTCAGCCTCCGATGCAGGGCATCCTTCCGACTGCTTGTCTGTGAAGGGAAGCGGGAAAGGGCTTCTCTCCTCCCACTTCTTCAAGCTGTCTCCAACATACACGTGGCCCTCACTGCGTACTGCTTGTTTCCCTAAGTGTTCGCTAAACATTTAGATGATAGGAAATCCCTCTTCATGGTGAATAAGCAAAATGTCATCAAGAATGGCCAAGTGCACACTGACCGAGTGACAAAGCTGTGCTCTTCTGGAGTACTTTCAAAATGGCACCTAAAGTTCAAGTGCCAGGGATGCTGTAGAATTATTCCACTGTCTGACTTGGGATGATGAATTCAGTTGTAAGTTATCATACACTTGTACGATCTTTGAAAAAAAAATCATGTTCATCTTCCTCATTAAATTATATCTTTGTTAGGGCAAACTTTCTGAATGGTTCCATTACTCACTGTACTCAACCACATAGTAAAAGGGCTCTGGGTACTTCTTAGGTAGGCACAGAGTAAGTAACTGTCACATGTTTGA